GATTATGTTAGTTTTACCATTTTTATTATTTGTCCTCAGATGATTCCCACCGTTCAGTACACAGTAGCGGAGAACAACACAACCACAATCAGCAGCGGTGCTGCAGTGCGCATCCACACAGGACTGACACTGCTGTCAACAATGGGTTTGTTCTTCTGTACAGTGGAATCGATGTTGCTGATCTCTGGGTTAGGTGCAGCAACAGGAGATGGAGTGGTGGTTGGTGCTTCAGTGGTAGTGTTCTCGGTGATCGGCGGAGTAGTGGTATTGGTTTCTTGTGAATTTGGTGCGGCAGTCACCTCATCAGTTGCAGTAGATTGCTGGGTAAGATTAGAGTCACGAGAAGGAGTCACGGTTGATTCTTCACTGACAGTATTCTCGGGGCTTGACGGAATAGTGGTATTTGTTTCTTCTGAGCCTGATACTGCAGTCGTACCTGGAGTTGCAGTAGATTGGTTACCGGAATTACCATCAATTGGTGCAGCACTCTCCGTTCCCGGTGGAGGTTGCTGCGAAACATTACCAGGATTAACAGAACTGTTATCTGGGTCTGATTCAGACACAGTTTGTGGTTCGTTTGGATGGGAATTAACACCTTCAGATGATCGCGCACCCGTAGTTGTTTGTGTTGGTTCCGGTGTTCCTGAACCAGTTAATGAGGAGCCACTTTCTGCATCGTGACCTCCTCCGTCAGCTTGTATTTGTCGTGCTCGAGTTTTTTCCTCCGAATGAGAAGGAAGAGTTGTGTGCTCATCTTCAGAGGTTTGATGGGTTTGAATTTGTGGACCAGTACTTCTGTCCACACCTTCTCTGGCATCTTGACCATGTGGTTGAGCCCCAGTCCTTCCTTTGGGGGGTGCCTCCGCAGTTTTTTCATATAATGAGGGGGAATCCCAATCCCAAGTATTATGAAGCGGGTACTTTTGACCCTTCTCTATTTTACGTGCAAAACCAGCATTATCATTACTATTATTCGTCGCTTTTATCAGCCGATATCCATAAGGATCAGTTGTGGCATCAGAAGACGTCTTGGTTAACTGTTCAGCCTTCACAGCCATGGTATACCCGCAGGCGCAGCACAGCACAACGGCCAACACACACATCACACGGCGCATCATCATCATGAGTGAGACAATAGTTTGGATTGCGAAAAACACTGATCTAGAAAGAAAGACAATCAAAAATCAAAATAAAAAAATAACTGAAGTATCAAACACGTTAGGACACATATATCAATTACCACTATGGAAACTCACATCGTGAAAGTAAAACCTACCAGTTAAAGAATACAATACAGCCCAATAACCTCATTAAGAGTAAAAACAAAAAAAAAGCACACACTCATAAATATCTCAAAAAAGGCTCAGCGAACCAGTAAAACACAAGCAAACAAAAAAGATATTAACCATTAGCCCAATTTATCCAAGTAAACACAAAAATATACACCAACTATGGGTGTAATTCTATATGTGTGTATACAAGCAATTATAAATACAAATGCATCTGTTATTATTATTTCCTTTTTTCCCACTGAAAAAAGCAGTTC